TAATAACAAGTCCCACCAGAAGTTCAAAAATTTCTGTATTGTGTAACATGGCATATACAGCTATAGATAGTTTTGAGTAGAGCAGAACAGTCTGAACATGCTCTTGGCTAGTGCTTTCGTTAATCCCCAGAGAGACAGGACCTTTCAGTAACGGGCACCTACAGAGAAAAAAAGAAACAAAAACCCTCCCAAAACAAACCCCAAACAAAGCTCCCTTCACCTCTTTAAGATCTACAGTAATCATGTACATTTATAGCAATTGTGATTTTAGGAAGCTCTGAGACCTTTTTTAAGGCTTCTACAAACACACAAGAATGAAGATGCAACCTGGTCTCTCCAGGGAATTCTTCACTTTCCTAAAGGTCTGCCCAGTGTCAATGTGTTGAGCTGAACAACTGAAAAAGCAGCTCTCAGTTTCAGAGAGTACCGAAACTGGACTCAAGATCAAAGATTTTGTTCATGATCTGTCCCTAGACCAGCTCTGCTGAAGGCAAGAAAAGTTAGTTTCAGGTAAAGCTCTGTCTCAGAGTACATAAATGAACTAAACAAGGTGTCAGAAACTATGATCTTGTTCTGTGATAAATAGCCCATGTTAGGGTTTTTTTTTACTGATTCCATTTTATAAATCATTTTAACGGGCATGTGAGGTAATATTTTTCATGCCATTTGAGTTGCTTGGCGCTGACTAGTCTAATGTATATATGTACGGAAATAAGGAAGAGCTATTAAGACAAATCAAATGGTATAAATATTTGCACTGTGAAACAAAACTTATTTGCTGAAACATGTAATTAGGTATTAATAGCTCATAATGTGTAAATGTTTACCTAAAAAACAGCAGATTATTGTTCTATTATTATTATAGAGACTAAAAACAAACCCCTTTCACGGGCAAAAATTACTGACATGAATGTGAATACCTTTGGTTAAATAACGTCCAAGGGAAAGAAAAAGTAATTTCCCACATGGACTTGCTCATTCATAAGTATCCAGTACCCAGTACACTTACTGGAAGCAGTGGGATTACAGGTGATCATACAGCTTTCAGCAGTATGTTACTAAACTTTCTGCTTTATCAGCATCTCTCATGCATGCAGAAATTTATTGCTGTTATATTATAAAAGCTGGTGCATTAGCCATTGGGCTGGTATATTTTTTCTCAACATTAAATAGTTCCTCTAAAGTTTGTTACTTTCCACATACATAATTAATTCCCCATGGATTTAAGTGACATTGACAACGTCAAAATACTTTATGTATCTAGAAGCTGAATCCAATATTTTTATTAAATTACTGCATCTGGATAAAATATAGGTAGTGACCTACAGCTCCCAGACACATTCCACAACATTCATGCTTAGTAGGTCACAAAACCATTAATGTGCCTTTACAAACCTCAGGAAAGCTGAGGGGGTGGGGAGAGTGGCAGAGAATAGGACAAACCAGAGTGAGAACAACCAGACCAAGCTGGACAAACTGCACTAAATTGTATAAGCCATGCAGACTTACTACGTTGTTTACCCAGAGAAGACAGTGCTATGCAGGAATGAGGAATAATACAGTATGAATGAAAAAGAATTAACTTATTTTTTGTGAAGGGGAAGGAAGCCGTAAAAACTTGTCATCAGACAATTTAGTCATAATGGGAGAGTGTAGGTTTTAGGCTCAGTATTACATGTCAAGATTGTTTACCTGTAGAAGCTATCAAGTGAGTGGTAGAGAGGAAAGCATGAAATATCTGTAACTTTTGTGTTCTGGTGGCTATAATTGTACCTTTTGATTTCCAGCCTAGCAGCAGGCTCATGAAATGTGGGATTTTTGTTATTATACCCAAATTAACAAATTATAATGTTTTCTTTCACTATAAACTCATTCCTAGAAATATTTTCCCATTATGGGAAGCCCATTTGGCTCACAGCGAACACTCTGCTTCTGACAGAAGCTTCATCTGGTGCCTGTTTAGATACCACCCAGAGCTCTAAGCTTCTTGGCACTGTCAGGATATATTTCATGCCTAATATGAACACATCTTGTGGGTACACTCCCTGTTGACCACGTCTGGTGCCTGGTCTAATAGCTAATTCTGACTACCTCAGATGGTTTTTCTGCTTTTGCTGAGCTTCCCTTTTCATTTCTCATTGGCCAAGGCCTTAAATTACACCTGTCTACTTCATATATCCTACTGGGTCGCTGCTCCATGCAGCAGCACCTGAGAGACCAAAACCCTATTAGATTAGGTTCTGTACAAACGTCAGTTTGAAAAAAAAAAAGGATTGATCCTAACATAAAGAATAGGGCAGAAATGGAGAAAGAGTATGCCTGAGGGGATGTAGTAATGTTAATAGGTGTTAGCCCATTTTATAAGACACCCTCACAGAGTGTTTTAGAAAGTAAGTCTGTCCGCCAAAGTTCAGTCAGAAGAGATGACAAGAAAAGAAAAATTAAGATGAAAAAGAGGAATGACCTGGTGCACATAGGACTGACCACAGTGTGAGACCAGGCTGGTTTAGCTAATCCCAGAATACACACTCATGCACATAGATACAGTCTGCCTGGGAATAGACCCACTTGCTTTATTTGTAACAAGGCAGCCTGTATTAATGTTTGGATAATAAGGTAATAATGATTAGATAATAAAGATCTGCATGCCCTACAACAGCAGTCCTCTGCAGCTGAACATCTGTGATTGCTGAGGTCCTCACCTGCAGGGCAGAAAGGTCCTCACTTTCTCGTATCTTAACAGAAAAAGCTTGGACAAGATTTAGCACCAACTGGTTAGTCATCTATTAATGGGGTTTATGTCTTTTAAGAATAATTTTGGTGCTAGTCTTCTTTTTGTTACATTTATAAAATTATGGCTCTCTGTTATCTCTTTGATTCCATATTTTTGTTACACAAATTTATTTGCTGCAGTCCATATTAATATTTCCAGTTAACTTCTAAAATCAGTGCTTTGCAATGCTTTATTTTTTTCAGGCAGTAGTTCCTGGAAAGCTGCCTGTGATTCCCAGCTCAGGTCTGGAAGTCTTCTGTTCTTTCTGGGAACATATGTTTAGTGTCTGACTCCCCCAGTTCATGATTTGTACTTTGGGTCTCTGAGATGGCAGGGTTAGGTGCTACAAGCTTCAGCGCTTCAGTACTGAAGGTCTTGCCATGTAAATACTGACCAACCACAGCAGAAGTCCTTGAACAAATCCTACTACCTTGGTAAACTGGGATAGCTGAGCTGTTCTCTCTAAAAACTGGATGCTTCCAGCTTTCTGGATGTCAGATAAGTCAAACACCTTTGATTCTATATCCCAAAAGCATTACAAATACTGCTTTTTTCCTGCCTCCTATTCCTTAGGCCTACCCAAAATTTCTCTGCAGACATTTTAATTTAAACAATCGATTTATGGATTAACCTCATCAAGGAATAAAGAATAGGTAGCGTATCAAAAATTCACTACTGTAGTAAATTACATTTGTTAAAATTAGACTCCTGTTGAATAAGGCCTTGATGATAATTGCTAAAGTTGAGTATTTGTGGTAAAGTGACACAGACTTAGTTATTAGAAAAGCAAGATTCAGCATTTTTAAAGTGTTGGTTTCTACTGACTATTGAAATTCAATATGCTATCACTGGACTTATTTATTGATCTATTTAACAGTTTTACAGAGCATTGCCATGTACTTGTTAACATTTGAAAAGCAAAACCTAAACAGCTCTCTTTTACGTTCAGTCCATCCTGTACTATGACACATTTCCTGGATGTACTACGAGCAATAAATTCCATGTTTGGTATGTGTTTTTGCAAAGCTATAAAATCTATGGAGGTATCAAAAATAAAATTTAATAACACAGATGATGCCCAGACATTCCTTTCCCATTGAATCTCCTAAGGGCTGACTTGCAGAGAAATCTAGATGTGCATTTCCCACTGATGTCAGTAAAAGCTATGAATAAATCCTCAAAGTAACTTAGTCACTGAAATATCTTGCTCATAGATGATTGCCATCTAATACCATCTCTATCCCTCATTTAGGAGTCTGTAGGAGCAGAGAGCACTTCTGGAAGAAGAGAGAACTGCTTTACTGGATACAACTGCAGTTCAGAGAAAAGGACAAACCTCAGGAGCCAAAGTAGTTGACCCACCTGGATGTGAGCAGCTAACTCTGATCAGGTATGTGCATTTGGCAGAATCCTGAGAAGTGAGACACATCCTGCAACCATGCTCAGCTCTTGTTCACAGCAAGAACTTCAGCAACATTTTCTATCCCCATGGAAAGTTTCATCCTAAGCTGACCATCTGTGCCATTCATGCTGTTTCAATTCATATAATTACCACAGGAACAAAAAGAGGCAGAACATATAGAATACTAGTTAATTAACATGAACAGGATATCCCTGCTCCAAGGGATATCTTTTATTTATTCATTATAGAATATCTCTAAGAAGAAACATTTGTAAAGGACAGAGTAACCAAATAGCTTGGCCACTTGGGATCTGGCAGAGCTGAGTTTAAACAAATTTCTTGGAACATACAGAAGAAGATGAGTCTTTGTCCTTCATCTCCCTAATGGATGCTCTGACTACTTAACTCCTCTGGATATATGCATGCGGTTTTTCCCCACTCGCTCCCTTTCCCTCCTTTTGTTTCACACTTCAAGCGCACCCACTGGCTGTCCTCCTGCTTCATGGCACAGATTGAGATGTTGGCTTTGGCACTGGGCAGCAGTAATACCAAACCACATGTAGGTTTCTATATGCTAAAGAATGGAAACATTTTCTTCTTAGTGTACCTGGTTCAAGAAGGAATGAAATCAGAAAGCATTATAGCTCTGTGATACAGTTTGCACACTAAAGCTACTAATAGTTGAGTCTTGTCATAAAAACTAGTAAGGTCATCAAATACAATTCTGTTATTTCTAAAAGTATTGTTAGTTTCCCTATAATATTTTTTGCAAACCTTAAACAGCAGGTAAAAAAAAAAAAAAAAAAAAAGTTGAAAGATGTAGATGCAACTGAAAATGTTTAGAGAAGAACAATGAAGTTTTACAGCCCAGTACCTAAATTCACCTATGACTGGAACTCGGACAATTGCTATATTTTGTCTGACTTCAAAAAATTTGTTCTTCAGGACAAAAGTTAGGACAAGCAGAAAAGGAAAGCTTTACATTTAGAACAGAAAATTTTGGAAGAACATAATTTTATTTGCTTAGTTTTCTTACTTACTCAACCAAATATTTTACCAAAGATGTAATAACCATGTAAAAATAACTGTTCACGTACAGTTGGTTAATGATGGATAACACACCATCAGTATCAGACTTGCTTAGAATTGAAGAACAAGATCTTTGGACATGTATGAGAGAGAGGTTAAGTATTTCACCTTTAAATCTGGTACTAAGAGCCAAAGAGAAAATCTTGCAGAAGAAAATGAGATGAGTCACTGTTATCCATGCAGGAGGCTTTTCATCATCATCTGCTTTTCCTTGGTCCTGGTGCTCAGTGAGGGCCAGTAAGCAAGACTGGCAGCACTTATATGGGGCTGATCCGAGCAAAATGGTCAACTAAGCTATGGTCAGTGTAGCTTACTCTGAAATCTGAAGCAGGAACAACCAGGTACACACCAAAAATATCCTCTAAACCTGAAAACACACCACCATTTGTCACAGCCTCCAGGGAAGTATGCATATAAGCAGATATATGATCTTTTACTTACAACACGGGATGATCTCTTGGTAACCTTGTAAGTACACCAACACTTCACTGGTTTGCTGCCAGCACACCTAGCTACAAACTGACTAGAATTTAGTCCTCAGCATTTTCAAGTATCACAGTTAACAGCAAATCTTTTCCAATAACAAGAAAAAACATTTACACCCTTTGGCCAATAAACATTTTCAAATGCTGCAAAAGCTAAACAAGAGTGCTTTAAAGGTTTGGGAATACTAAGCCCTGATTGATTAGAATTAATCATTTACAATGAAGGGTGCAATTGCTTCATTCATGCCTCGGAGTCCTGCAGGATTTCCCGAGGTATTTGAAGGATGCAGGTTTTAAATGAAAATATGACATTTTAAAATGTAAAATTCAACATACTAGTTGCAGCTAAGAAGTCTGAAGTAGCCAAGTGGCACTCTCCCTTTCTGTCATTTCATTTGTAAAGCTGGATTCCCTTTGGTGGGTCAGGTTTTGTGTTAATGTATTTGAATATTGTGAACATCACAAATATTGTAAGACTGGGCTTAACTGCTGGAATGGAAGTGTGTTGATTTTATGCCTTACGATAGATGTGCCTTTGTGTAAAGCAGTAAAAATTGGTAGAGATGGGATACAAGTAGCAGTAAAAAGAAAAATGTTGAGACTCTTTCTTTTAAAATACATCCTGCAGTTTAGCTATAAAGCTCCTTATTTTTAGAAAACCAGTAGAATTGTTCAGGCTCTGCCCCTGCAGTTTCAATAGCAGTCTAGTGCTTTAAAACCCTGACCTTGAAAAGAAAGCGTTTACATTGTAAATGTACTGGCAGTATGTAGACTATTCTATGACTGAGTATCCAACTGCGGCAAAAAGTTCAGAAGCAGATTTTCTTTATTCTGAAAGGCCTAATCCATGGGGCTTTTTTAGTGGTAAAAGCACTTGGCACTAATTGTGACTTAGTTCTAGCAGTGAACCTGTATAATTCTCAAATTTCACACAGCCAATTAATTCCCATGAATATCGGGAATCACAGACTCTGATTAAGTGTTGATATGCAGCATTTTTTGATGCTTAGATTTTCTGCAAGCAAAGGGGACCTCTCAAAGCTGGTCTTGTGTCTAAAATGCAGTATGGTATCATAGCTTTAGATTGTGCACGAGTTTATGATGACCAGAGGACTTAGAGTATAAGCAGAAAACAATCTGTGGAGGTGACACAGGGATGAAATGTGGCATTAGAAGGATATGCAGCCCCTCCTGCTCCCAGGGCTGCCTGTTGGAGGAAGCATGATGGAGAAGAGGCAAAGCCCAACTGCAGAGACATTCTGCAATGGGTCCAATTCACAGCAAATCTTTTGTAAAAAGTCTCACCTTCGAGAATCTCTTTGATAAAGGCTCACTTCCCCACCTCACCACAAAGTTCTCCGTTCTGGTATGGAGGCCCCAGTCACAACCCTACAGTTTAGGGAGGCTTCTCTCTTGCTTCTAAAGCAGAGACTTGCCATTTTTATTATGTACAGAAAATGAGCACACCTTCTCCAAACTTACAGTTCTTACCCTTTACAAACAGGAGGAGCATTCTAAGCACTGACTGTGCATCACTTGTTTTGTATATTCTTTTATCATTATTTCCCCCTCCTTTTCTTTGTTATTAAACCATTTTTATCTTAACCCATTTTTTCCCATTCTCTCCCCATCCCACCAGGGGAGAGCAAGTGAACGGCTGCATTATGGTTTAACCCCAGTCGGTAACTAAGTACCACATAGCCACTCACTCACTACCCACCCACCCCACCCCCAGTGGGTGGGTAAAATCCATCGCTTGAGATAAGAAGAATTTAACAATTGAAATAAAGTAAAATATAACAACAACAACTAATAACAGGAATCAGAGAGAGAGGAATAAAACTGAAGAAAGACAAGTGATATGCAGTACAATCACTCACCACTTGCTGACTGATGCCCATCCCATCCCTGAGCAGTGATCAGCCCCTCCCAGCCAGCTCCCCCTGGTCTATATACTGGGCATGATGTGCTGTGGCATGGAACACCCCTTTGGCTAGTCTGGGTCAGGTGTCCTGGCTGTGCTCCCTCCCAGCTTCTTGTGCCCCTCCTCACTGGCAGAGTATGGGAAACTGAAAAAGTCCTTGATTTAGGGTAAGCATTACTTAGCAACAACATAAAACGTCAGTGTGTTATTAACATTCACAGACTAAAGCCAAAATACAGCACTGTACCAGCTACTGCCCCACCTGAAACCAGGCAGACTGTGTGGTGTTTCACTGCCTGTCAGGTTAAACTACAACATCGGTAGAGGATCCCTTCAGTTGCAGTGGAAACACAACTGTGTTAAAGTCTAATGAAGGCCACTAGTGGACAAGATCTAGAAAAATCACTAGTTGATCATACCCCCCTATGTTGATTGAAGTAGCTGACGAAAATACTAAGAAAAAGGATACTTTAGCTATGTCCATTAATGTTCCATTAATTTGCACTACAGATGATATAAACAGGACCTTTTAGAGCAGTCTTGTGAAAGTTTGAGATTGGGACACCTTCAGAGAGGCTACCAAGGCAGCAGTTACTGTTACACTGGCTCTCACATCTTTCAAACATCCTTAGCACTGTGTGTTATGGTTTTTAAGTAAACAATTGCTGCAGTCTCCACATCACAGCTGGACAGTTTAATACAGAGTTGGTTATACTCCAGAGTCAATGGCAGCTTGATAGTTATGTCCAGGGACTCCATTTGACAAGATAAATAATCAGGTCACTGTACACTGCTTGTTACACATTCAATTTAATCCCACCTGCAAGAATTCATCAAGCGGAGCCAACAAGACTATGTCTTTCTAACATGTGATACCCTGAAGTAAAATGGTGTCAGCTCAAAGGCCTGGTTCTTCACCATACCCATCAGTCAATGAAGACCTCAAACAAATGATCATGGAAGGCCATGGCCTTGCCAAATATACCTACCTTGTTATGAGGGAAAGCAGAAAACAGCTATAAATTTTTAGGGTTTTATAAATAAACCAGGGTAGTCAGTTTGGGTGTGAATTTTAATTTAAAAGGGTATCTTGAATAAAAGTAGTATTCTGCTCCTCTGATTATGTGATCTTAGTAAAATAGGTGATTCCTTACTCTGTTTGAGTAGTTAAAACTACGGAAGCCTGTCACACAGTCACAGAATCATTAGGTTTGGAAGGGACCTCTGGAGATCATTGAGTCCAACCCCCGTGTCCTACACTTCAAGACAGTGTTGTATGATTAACAACCATTTCTCCCCCTAAATACGGGTATTTTTGGAAGTTCTATGGAAAAGGGAAGCTTATCTTTCAAAACTGCTGTTTTCCTCTAAGTGGAAGTAAAGTCCCAATACGATGCTGCATCTATACTTTGCTTGAATAAGAGGTCACATGGGTAGAATATAGCCCACTATACTCCTAGACCTGGCTCTCTGAGGACACACTTATGGAAACAGGGTGATTACAGATGAGGTCGCAGTGTTCACAGTATGCAAACCTCAGGCTGCCCATCAGTCCCAGCTACCTTTGTAGCATATGGTATGAGATATGAGTGCTCTTCTAGGAAAGATGCCAAGAAATCTGGTCTGCAGACTCTTGGCCAGACCATGGCACCAGCATGGCAAAAGCAATGCAGAACAGCAGCCTAGTCATCCTGCAGCTCAACCTGAGGACACAGCCAGCACATACCCAGTCTGTGCCAAGAGACAGAGGTACCCAGAAATCCAGTCTGACCCTGCTCTTCCCTGGCTGCTTAGAGGCTCACGGTACTGGTGTGAAGAGAGTTTATGATGAAAAAGCAGAGCAGAAGAAGCCTATATCCACAGGGACATTTTGAGAAGAACAGCATGTTTCCATTGTTCTTCCTGCAGCTGAGATCACGGGCTTCTCTTAATGAAAATAGCTGCTGGCTATATTCTTAATGGGAACACTGTGATGACACAAAGAGAGGGGAGAGATAAAAAAAATATATATATATATATATATATATATAATTTCTATTTAACTTCTATTGTAGGCAAACAGTTGAGTCTGGAACTAGAAATACGTAAGTGCCCTTCACTGGAATAATTTTGTTTGGTAATGTTGCTTTACAGCAGTACTGAAGCTCCTTGGATGCTGTTTCTGAGCACTTCCTATCCTATCTTCCATGTATTTGCTTGAAATTTCACCTCTCTTTGGACCTTTAGAACTATTTATGTTTGATTTTGGACAATTATATGATCCCTACAAATTTCTTGTTTAGCTCCAGGTTAAGTTGAACTTTATTTCAACAGAGCTGGTTATTTTGACATAGAATATTTTCAGCATTTAAGCACCTACAGCCAGTCTTACACAAGTCATAGAAAAGAGTAAATAGGTCACCTCATCTATTCCTCTGCCTCAAGGGAGAATCAACTATACCTATGTCAGCCCTGACAGATATTTGTCCAACTTGTTCTGAACAGCTCTAATGATTGAATTTCCATTTTCTTATCTTTTCCAATGCTTAAATATCTTCTCAAAATTGAAATCATTATGAGATTATTAAGAATGAAACTGTGCCACCACATTTTGCAGTGGAGTCCTTCAAATTATTGTGAAATGACATCTTAATGTAAAAATGAACAACTGTATCTAGTGGTTTGCTCAAGATGGGTGCCCTCCCACTCACACAGTAAGAGATAAAGGATGATCACTAACCTTCCAGCTCTACAAAAAATTGCAGATCCCTTCTCTTCATTTTACTTTTCCTAATTCTAGGAGCAGATATCTGAACTACCTGCACATCGTTTAAAGTACTTCAGAAGGTCTTTACTGGAGACATCTTAGGTGTTTATGCAGGAGACAATCTGGTGCTACGGTTATAATTATACTGTAAGCATCTAGATAGTGTATCATGAACACAGATCTTTGAATTTTATATACTTACTCTTTCAATC